CTCTCTCTCTCCCTCCTCTCTCTCTCTCCCTCTCTCTCTCTCTCTCTCTCTCTCTCCTCTCTCCTCATCTCCTCTCTCTCTCTCTCTCTCTCTTCTCTCTCTCTCTCTCTCTCTCTCCCCCTCTTCTTCTCTCTCTCCTCTCCCTCTCTCTCTCTCTCTCCCTTCTCTCTCTCTCTCTCCCTCTCTCTGTCTCTCTCTCTCCCTCTCTCTTCTCTCCTCTCTCTCTTCTCTCTCTCTCCTTCTCTCTCTCTCTCTCTCTCTCTCTCTCTCTCTCTCTCTCTCTCCCTCCCCTCTCTCTCCTCTCTCTCCTCCTCTCTCCTCACCCCTCCTCCGCCCTCCTCTCTCTCCCTCTCTCTCATCTCTCCCTCTCCTCTCTCTCCCTCTCTCTCTCTCTCTCTCTCTCTCCTCTCTCTCTTCTCTCTCTCTCTCTCTTCTCTCTCTCTCTCTCTCTCTCTCTCTCTTCTCTCCTCTCTCTCTCTCTCTCTTCTCTCTCATCTCTCTCTCTCTCTCTCTCTCTCTCTCTCTCTCTCTCCTCTCTTCTCCTCTCTCTCTCTCTCTCTCTCTCTCTTTCTCTCCCTCTTCTCTCTCTCTCCCTCTCTCTCTCTCTCTCTCTCGCTCTCTCTCTCTCTCCTCCTCTCTCTCTCTCTCCTCTCTCTTCTCTCCTCTCTCTCTCTCTCTCTCTCCTCTCTCTCTCTTCTTCTCCCCTCTCTCTTCTCTTCTCTCTTCTCTCTCTCTCTCTCTCTCTCTCCTCTCCTCTCTCTTCTCTCTCTCTCCTTCTCTCTCCTCTCTCTTCTCTCTCTCTCTCTCTCTCTGGGTACAGGACACAGAGTACTTGTGAAATAAGAAGCACATGGCTTTTGTGGTCTGCGAGGCCAGAGAAGATGAGAGCAGGTCACTTGAGTGATTTTGCTAATGTTTGCAGATTTATAAATATGTGACACTATAGTTCACAGTGTGCTCAGCGAGTCATGATTACATGATTATTACTGGATGTAATGAATGTATTAAGTCAAATCGCTCTCTCACTCACTAATCACTCACTCTTGTGTATTATTTTTCTCTCTTTCTCCCTCCCTCTCACTCTCAATCTCTCACTTTCCTTCACCCTTTTGCCCACCCACCCCAACCTCCTTTCTTTTTTATCTTTCTCCTTTCCTCCTCTCCTCCATCCTACCCTCCTTTCTTTCCTCACTCCCTCTCCCCCCCTTTCTCCCTTATCCCATGATTGACATAAGGCTGATTGCAAAAGGTATTATACCCTCTACATTGACATTGGTAGGGCAGAAATTATATTCTTGAAACAGCTTACTCTTTTTTTGTGAGAGTTGCACACAAGAGTAGAAAAGAACACGATCCGAGGCTAGTCAGTGCTGGATGGTAACTGGAGTAGTGAGCCCAGTTGAGGGCATCCGCTCGGTTACTAGTGGGAGAACCACACGGTCTGGAGCTCAGGCTGTCTCAGTATGATCTGTCAGAGAGGTCAGCTTGTGTCACTTTATATTTAATCCTGTCAGCTGGAAGTCTCTCGTGCTTGCTGTGGTTTATACAAGCGGGCACAAGCGGTGGTGTGGGGAAGCATGAGAGGCAACCCACGCAGGCACAAGCGGTATGGCACTCAGTACAGAACCACGTGGTCTATGAGCTTTCATTATGTTATGCCCTCTCATGCCAGCGTGGGTCACCCCTCATGGGTAATTCTAAATATACACCCTACACATTGACCTCACAAATTCTGTGTCGAGGCTTGCTCCATCAAGAGACCCTGGGTTACACAGATCACACAGAGACAGCCTTACCTCTGGACCGTGTGGATCTTTGCTACTCACTGCACTGCCACCTTCACCAGGGCTCGCTACCGCAGTTACCAGTCACTGACCAGTCTCGTATTGTGTTCTGTTCTACTTGTGTGTGCAATTCTTCCCTGTAAAGAGTAAGCTGCTTCAAGTATATATTATTCTGCCCAAGCATTCATGTAGAGCCTCCAGGCTAGTACAGTGGTAACGTGCCGTCCTCTCATCCGAGGGGTCGGCGGTTCGCGCCCCGCCCAGGCGCGAGAAGTTGCAATTGTCGCTCGGAGGTTACTGCTGTGGCTGGGCACCATGGTGGGTAAGGACTAAGGTCTGTCGCGTCAGCACTTGCTGACACACGTTGATCGAGTCGACATTAGTCGGCACAGGCCGGGCTCCCCCATAACCCGGGCGAGGCTCAGCTTCGCATATCGGACTTATCCTTATCTTATCATGTAGAAGGCACCATCCTTTACAGCTCTGCAGCTGTAAAAAGTATTATTCCATCTACATAAACCCTGGTGGGCAGAAGTGAAACACTTGAAAGGGCTTACTCTTTATTGGTAAAAGTAGAAATAAACACGATACGAGACTGGTCAGTGCTGGATGGTAACCATGGTGGTGAGCCTAGTGAGAGCAAAAGTGCAGTCTGGAGGTCAGGCTGTATCCATGTGATCTGTCAGAGAAGTCAGCTTGGGTCGCTTTATATTTGA